ATACGTGGCATTTGGAATTCAAGTCAGATTTTCATTTACTCCAGAACTTTTCCATATGTTTCCTATTAGCAGCTTTGTTCTCAAATCTTTAGTCTCCCCAGAAAGGAGGGAAAAATCCCAACACAAGCCTAAGAAGCAATGTTAAATTCTAAACATAGAGAATGAGGAAAAAAAAAAAAAGCCTTCAGAACACAATTTCATTATTTTTAGTTCAGTACTGCTTTTATTATTATGCTGCTGTTAAATTCTGATCAAAATGAAATTAAAACTTTAATGTTTATTTTGTCTGTTGCAATGTACCATAGTTTTTCTGGATAAATAGTGCACTATTTTAACTGGCAATTGAATGAATATGGAATGAGTATCTTCAAGAGATAACAGCAATTTCTTTTTAGGACATGGGTAAATGCTTCTTGTGTTTACATTAAATTATTCTAAAATTGCTTAACGGTAAAGTCATATCAGATTTTTCTATGCACAACTTGGTTTAGGTAGCTGAGATATTTTGCTGCTTTAGCAAACAGATAAGAAGGGTTAAAAATTGCACTCCTTAGTTTATATTTTTCAGCTGCTCTGGTCTGAGTCATTTCACTCATTTTTGGGAAATGCAGGTGCAGGAATTCCTAATGGGATACTCATGAAACATTTTAGAAATTTCCATTATGTTTAAAATAGTCAAACTTTCCCTTCTTGATTTTCTAAAATAAAAGAACCTTTTATCTTTGTCACTTATTTCAGTTGGTATCTTTTAATCCTTATTACCAATTATAAGCAATTTTGACACAGGATAGAGAGAAGTATTTATGTGCTTGTTATAAACTTGTGGAAAATAGCAGCTGGGCAGAGGGAAGTGCTCCAGAGAGGTCCTTCAGTTGGGAAGGGACAGTTCCAAATGCTGCTTAGGAGCAGATGGAAGGCAGGAGAGGACAGAACTGTGAGTGACCCCTTGGCACATGGCTGGCTCTGCCTTTGGCAGCAGAGAGGTGCTGTGGTGTGAGACAGAGAGCAGCTGGAGGGACCTGAGGCTTGCACAACTCAAATCCATAGGAATCCAGACTTCTGGAGCTTCTTAGCTCTTGAAACAACTTAGTGACAGCAACACTGGGAATGAAGAGTTGTCCTTATCCCTTTAAAGCAGCCCAGGATTCTGTGAACCATCCTTCCACAAGGGCACATTGCTGGCTCATGTTCAGTTTGTCTACAGGATCCTCAGATCCTTTTCTGCAAAGCTGCTTTCCAGGTCAGCCATCAGCCACATCCCTCACTAGGATATTTGGGCAAGATTTGGGCATCCCTTAGCTGAACTGCACGAGCTCCTGCTGGCCATTTCTCCAGCAGTATAACCTCAGAGAGTCACATGTAAGTCACCAGTGACCTTGTGAGGGTGATCTGCCGTGTCAGGCAGATGGATAACGAAGCTGGGAGCAGAGCTGGAGCCAGCACTGACCCCTGGGGTACGCTGGAAGTTCCTGACCTCCAGCTGGAATTCACCACGTGGCCTCTCTACGCTCGCTGCCTTCCAGCCCATTTTCAGCCCACCTCAGTCTGCTTATCCAGCCCAAACTTCACTGTGCTTTTAGGAATTTGCAGCTCTTTGTTCTTAAGATCAAGCAGTGAGATCCAAAAGCTGTGCTCCTTCTCTATCCATCTGTCCTCTTCTCCTTCCTGACACTTCTAGCCAGCTTGTCTGATACACTGAATTCCTGCAGGTTTCATCCTGGGCAGAGAAGGAAGGCACTATTAATCCTGGAAAAAGGAAATAAACTAAGTACTTCTTCACCTTCTTTAATTCAGTCTAGCAGCAGGAGAAAGATCCCTAGATCTAACCCTAGATCACAAGAAAGAAAATATATTTTATTGAAGGTATGTTTTGATTTACATTGTGTATATTTGCCACAGCTGATGGTGGAAGTTAAAATAATGATTTAGTAGTATCTTATATTCTTTAAACTTTTTGTATCTTATTAATTTTGCTTCTCTTTGTCTACTAATGCTGCAGCATTCTTTGTATTGCTGTGTTTGAAATACTGCATTAAGTCGGTTGATATTGGGAAAAGGGGTGGGGAAAAGACTTGGAAAAATGAGACTATTTCATCCCTTGGCAATTTAATGGTGTAGAGCAGGACATAGAACGCAGGGTTTAGCAGCACTCAAATAGTACTTTAGTACTCAAACAGGCCCCTCTGCTTAATCAGTATTTGTGACGTTTACTGGGCTCTTCCAGTGCTCTGACATTCTTCATAATTTATTTTTTAAAATTACTTTTTCTTCTATTTGCAGCCACAGGCTGCCACCCTCTGGTGAAATTTGTTAACTGTTGTGTGAGGACCTGGGAGATTTTCGGAAGAGAGAAGCCCTTTAAAGTTCGAAAATCTTAGATGGAATAAATATTATTTTTTTTATTAAACAAATGTATATAGTTGTACAAGGAATAAGTAATGAGAAGGCTTTATATCAAGTTTCTCTTTCTCCCTCTTTCCTTTCCCTGTAACATTTTTAGAGAATGTAAAGGTGGAGTTGATTTATTGACAGGTTTCCTTCCTATCTGCTGTTACCAAAATGCCTTGTTCTGTGGGAAAATCACTGAACACTAGTGTGTTATCATCAGTTAATAACTATTCTGTTAATAACATTTTTGTCCATGTTCAGAAATCATTGCTGAAACTGCATATGGTACATTTTATATCATAATGTTTGTGTGCCATGACACATCCACCTGAGTCTATGTTAAAGCATGCCAAAGATGCAACCTATGGAAACTATTAATTATTATCACTGCAAATGCCAGCTGAAAATAGTGGAGGGTCATTGAGCATAGTTTTTTTTTCTCTTAAGTGACAGACATTCTATCAATTTGAGCTGATCTAGGAAATTACTGCTGTTCTCTAAAAATAAAATCTACAGGAAATGGTTAAAATGAACCATTTGATACTTCCCTGCTGTAATGAAAAATTGTCAGCATAGTTTAAGTCACAGATGAAGTTATTTTAAACTTCTAATCTGGCTGAATTTGCTTGGAGGATGGTGCAAACCTAAGCAGATGCCAAAATCGTTTGGAGGCTATTTATTAAGAGGAAGGGTAGAGGTATTTTCTTCCAAACTAGTGCTGCAGTTTCTTCTGTGAATGTTCTATGCATCCATGGGTGCTGACTGGAGAAAGTGTTTCTCAGACTGGGTGCACGGCCAGAGGAATGAGTGAGAAGGCAAGAGAGCTTTTAAGGCTCTGAAAAGATAAGATCAAGACTATATTGTTTTCTACCTCTTAGGACTTTACTATATTTTTACAAAGCTTTCCTACACTTTCCAATTATAGTAGGAGTTCAGCAGCAGACTTAAAAATTTGGTGAAATTCTTACACAAGTGATGTAAAGAATTCATAGATTTAGAGAGCACAAGGATGCAGTCCCTGTTGTCCATTGCATTAACCCAAATTAGATGAGGAATTGTTTACATTCTCTGTTGTGTTTCCTTTTAAACTTTACCAGTGAATTAGTGTAGAAAAATGTACTACACAACATTGCGAGTTTGTTCTTTCAGTTAAGCTACAGAATTGGAATCAGCTTTTCTGCTGGTGTTGACATTGTTGAAATGATGTAACTAGTATAGCAGGTGTTTATGAACACATATAAACTAGTGATTCATAAAGATGTAATGATTTTTCTGTTATCTATTGTATTTACTAACATTTCATGGGCTTATTAGTTGTTTATGGTACTTACGGCAGGGGAGTCTGTCCTTAAGGGAATGCTGGTATTTGCTAGGAAATGCACTCCTTAGAAACATCTCCAGAAGCCAGAAATAGAAAGATGCTTGGTCATCAGCAGATTTCGGGTTTTGTGTTCTGTTTAGTCTTTGTTTTTACTCTCCTTTGAAGTGTGTTATGGAATTTATATTTGCAAATATCGTTCTTCAGTAAAAGCTTCCCCTGGTCTGCTCTGCCTCCTCTCTTCACATAGTTTTTATGTCTCAGCAGCAGAGTGGTGCTAACAAAATATTAACTACCAGGGCAAGCAAGCAAATGAAAAGAACTCAGATTTGATGCCAATTGTGTAGTGTACTTAGGTGGGTGGTAGGAAGGCTGAGAGATTGGATTATTTGTAGTTACAAATTGAGTTATTTGTAATATTTTCTTCTGCGAGTCTGTGGTATTTCCCAAAGTATTGGATTTTGAACTTTGTGCAAACCAGCAGTGATAAATGACCTGTAAGCTCTGTAGATTTGGAAAAAGGAGCACTAGAGGAAGTGTCTAGACAAGAGTCACAAAGGTGCTTGGTTATATTCTCAAAACATTTTGATGTGAGCAGCCATGTAATAAAGGATACACATGCAAGTATTCTGTAAGTTGATTTAATTTATTTTGAATCCCAATAGCAAATATACACTAAATAGATATCGAAAATATCCATTTTATACAGTACTGTCAGTATTGAGAGTTCTTTGTGCTGCCCTGCACATGAAGGGCAGGGCAGGCGAGTTCCAGCTGCTTGGTTTTGGCAATTGTAAGGTACTTCCATTAAGGAGGGATCCTTAACCCGTGTTATGTCAAAATATAAAGAGGAAAATAATAAAGTGAAAAACACGATTACAGTTGTTATAGATAAAAGAAAAATGTTTGTGCTGGCCTAAAGGGAGTTTAATAGTAATTCCTATTAAGCTTGAAGCATGTGATAAATCTTGAATCCTACTTTTAATGTTCAGACTGCATCCAATTCTATCAATAGCAAAACATTGAAGGACATTTTCTTCTTAACGTTGCAAGGAAAAATTACCAACAACTTTTAATGACTTTTTGTCTGTTCTTGATATGAAACTTGTCTTTATCTCACTTAAAAGATTGTAAGAATATATTCTAGCTAAGAGACAACTACCTGACAATATCATAACTTTTTATTGCATCTTTGCTCACTATCAAAAATGGCACAAGAAATTGCCCTTGAAGTCTGGTAATTTTTGTTTTGCAACTTTTCTTACAACACTTTCTGGGAGAGAACCTAGGTCTCTCCTAGGTTTTTCCTAACTGTGGAAAAAGTCACTTCCACATGATTTTCAGGACTTATTTGAAAGAAAGAATGTGTCCAAACTACGTGATTTAAAGAAGGCATCTAACATCTATAATAGGAAACATCAAATACAGTTTCCAGTTCCACTTCTAAGAGTCCTTCTGTAAGATATAAAGACTTTTGTTTAAATTATTCAAATGTAGGTTGAACATTGTCAAACAATACAATGGATCCTACTTAACATATTGTTTCTAATTAATTATCTCTGAAATAGCAAATACTTTGTAAACGGTTAAATAGCATAAAATCAGCATTTTTCTGCAAATTTCAAGTATTGTAAAACTGATTTAGACAAGTTGCTTTTTGAAATAACCAACTAGGGCCTCACTTGAGGAAGTTCCCAAGCTGAACACTGTTCCTGGCTAAAATGCAGCGGAATGTTGAAGGCTGGACCTCCCAGTACTTGACAGGGTTGTTGAAGAGGCTGATGCCGCTGTACAGGGCTTTCTTCTTCCTTCGTCCCGTGGGACAGAAATCATTCACTCCCAGCTTGGCAATATGGTTGGAATGAAGGAAGACCACCTGCAGCAATAGGAGCAGAAAAATAGAGGAATTGAATGAAAATGGGGAAAATATTCCTTAGCATGTAGGTGACTAGGGTTTGTTAAAACATCTATTCCATGCAAACCTTGAGAGTAACAAGAGCTTAAAATTTGTGTTAAATTTTTTTAAAAGTCTTCCACCTGCCCCAGTCTTTCCACAAAGAAAAGTCATATGGCATTTTGTCAGTGTGCTTTTGGAATAATTGGACTCTATTCTTAGGGAACTTGGTTCTAAAATGCAATTTTATATTCTCTTTTAGTAAGAATTATAATGATACAGTATTATAATTTCATTTCTGTAAACATTTTTTGAGTGTAGCAGTTTCTTGTCCTTTTTTTTCCTTTCCTAGGAAGTGTTCCTGCAATTTTATTTTGTTTATTTCTTCAATAAGCTTTTTTGATTTCAGACTCTCCTAGTAGGAGATTCATGGCAAAATATATGAAACAACTCAGAACTCCCAGAGTTGTCTGATAAGTTCGGTGTATGACCTGCAGATATTTCAGTTCAGGTAATCCAGGAGGAACCTTCTTCAGCTTGTTTTTTTCCAGGTGGATTTCACGTATACTTGGGATGTTGGCAAAACTTCCATTTTCCACTTCTTTGATTTTATTATTGCCAAGGCCTAGCCTAGAAATAGTACAAGGAACATTTAATTAAAGACTAATTTGGATTCAAAAATTCATAATAGGAAAAAATCAGCATTGATCTAACATAATTTAAACTCCACTTAAAGATTGGCTCACAGCAGTTATCAGTTATCTGATGTAAGCAATTGTTCTGTTTTGCATGCAGTTTTTGTAATTATAGTGGCAAGTGTTTAAATTATAAACATCAAGTTGCTTGTGGAATAAATCATATCATTTTACCAAGTAGTGCAGCTGCTAATTGTAGTCACTTGTAATAAGTTCTAATAAATAGCCAAATAGCAAGTCTTGTCTAGAAAGGTGTTTTAAATGTATAGCATATTTTTAAAATATAAAGGTTTTTTACTAAGCAAGACTACCTTCTTTCCTATTTCCAGTTTTTCCTTATATTTTTTGCTATAAGGCTTCAGCCTGCTTTCTTCAGAAGCTGTAGCCTCAGGTCATTCAGAATTGCTCTTTCTGCCCATCCTGTTAGCCTCTTTTTCTAAATTCTTTCCTGATTTTCAGAAACTGAATTTGGTATCTAAAGGCAGTTCAGTAATTTCTGTTACCACATCCAGTGCTGCTTAGCCATATTTTCAGAGTTCTTAAGTGAGCTTTACAGAGAGAACTTCCTTCTCTCCTATTTCAGTGATACATTCCTCAGAAACACATATTTTTCTTTAAACCCCATTGCATTTGAGAGCTGTTGTTTCCTTTACCAGCTGCTGTATTTACAAGAAAAAATTTATAAAGATTAGAAAAACTTAGGTTAGTTATATTTTGTTCTTATCCTACTTTTCAGTTACAGCCTGTTGGCAAAACATGTAATAACAAGACTAATGTGAGGGTTTGGGGGTGTGTTTGGATTTTGAAGTTGAGTCTTATTTAGAGCAACTCTTACTAAAACACCTATATTTTTTTTTCTCCCATTAACAAGAGAAGTATCAAATATTAGATCTTGCTGGGCATGACATTTTAACATAAAAAGGGATCCAGCCAGGAAATTTTACCTTTGTAGATCTTTGTAGCGGTTAAAATCCTCAAGTTCAATTCCTGTGATCTTATTGTCATCTAAGTGAAGCTCCAGAAGACTGGATGGCAAATCTGATGAAAAAAATGCACAGTGTGAAAAATCCAAGTCAACTAGTTTTTTCTTGGAACATTTATTATGTTGCAAAAAACTTCTTTCCTTTGTGTTTAGAATTGGGTGAAGAATCTTGGAGAGGTTGTCTACATCAAAGGAATAGGTATTACATATAATGGAGTATATATAATTATATTACATATATATATAATATCTATTATGTATATATGTAATAAATATAATATATATGCAGTATATAATGTATATATGTAATATATGTGATATATATAATATGTATTATATATTATATGTATTATATATAAAATATACATGAAATTATATATAATGTAATTATATTACATATAATTACATATAAGTATATTAATGAAGAAAATATAATATGAACCAATATAATTTGGTTTAAAATAATTTTTTAAAAAGTCAAGCTGTGGAAGGATATATGCTAATTAAGAGATATAAGAGTTCCAAAATTTGGTACTTTTTCTGGCTTCCTTTATAATGACTCTCATGGTTACATTGTCAAAGATGTTGATCCTGTGTTTTGTGCATTTATCTCAGAGTCTGTAGTCAAAGCCTGTGGAACCAGGGACAGGTTTTTGAAGATCTGTAATTTTTTTCTACATGCTGTAGCAGTTGTGCCACAGCTGCTAGGATGGGACTGGAAGGAAAGGTTTTGGAGTACTCTAAGCAGAATTGTGGTATTTGATAGCTCTTTCCCATGCTGGAATATTTTCTATTGCACTTCCAAAAATTCCAAATCCAAACTGGTGAATGGACCAGGAGGTGGTGAATCTTTCCACAGCATCCTCTTAGTGAGGACAAGGGAAGCTCATGCCAGCCTGAATGTGTTTGCTGATGCTGGGCCGGTTTCCCGAGTCTGTGTGGATGGTCCCGGACACCACACAGTTCCGCTGCCCTCTGGGCTGGCAGAGCAAAAAGCTACATTTTTTTAAACTTTTCTGCCATTGTAGCATTTGCAGAGAGAAGCATCTGCAAACTCAGCTTGCATTTGTGGTGAAGGAGTTCACCATGAAATCTGGTTTGGTTTGTTTGTGTATCTGACACCACATTTTGGACCTCATGCTGTGTGTCTTTATAGGGGATTTCTCTATAACAAAGACAAAATTGGAATAATTTTACATTAGGATTATTTTTGTGCCAAGTGAAAGGAGCTGATACGAGGCTTTCTGATTTTAAAGTTATCTGAGCACTCGGGGTGAGTTGGTTTTACTAATTGTTGAGAGGTTGTTTTACTATTCTCTTCTACAGGTTTTTTTTTGTGTTCTCTTTTTCTTCTGTATATCTATATATGCACATATATATGCATACAGGAAGAGATTAATAAGAAACAAGTTCTTTATCTGAATGATCAGAAATAAATACAGGGGCCAACATTGTTTCCCTGTGAGTTAGAGTATAGAACACAGTGTTTTGCTTTGTTTCCTTGCTTTTTCTTTTAGTTGGTAGTTTTGAGCAGTTGAAAATCATGAGAATTTGGTTCAGTTCCACACTGATCTGCAGAAAAAGCAGGTGGAGTGTTGTACTAAAATCTTGTATGCTGCATTTGTGTGTGCGGAGGTCAGTGATTGGTCAAATTAGTGTTTTAATTTATTTTTACCTCCAAATTACAAGGTTGGAGTTTTTCTATGTGAAAAAGTGATTTGCTCTTGTATTATGTTATGGTGAATTTACTTAAATATTAAAATAAAGTTTTACTTAGCAAAACTACATTGACCATCATATTTGAGGTGCAGTGTGACTTGAAATACTAAAACTTCATTTTAGAAATTTTGGAATTACATTTTAAATCCATAAAGGAAGTGGGAATTTTGCACGCCTTATATCCCTGATCAAATATTGGGGAGTTTATCCTTTCTCTGTGAGAATTTTTGAGAGGCTGACAAGTGAAAGATGTGAAGTGACATCAAATTATTAATTTCTTTGTATTTTTCCTCCTGAGACAAGTGTCTGGACATTCCGAGAGGAATGGATGTGCTGACAGGGAGAAGGTGGGAGAGGGAGCCTGTGTGCACTGTGTTTGTGCTGTTTGTGCATGAACTCTTCTGGGGTGGGGAATTGGATATAAAGTTCAAAAACAAAAGGTAGGAAGTGGTTTGGCAGTAATGACAATACAAAATCATTTATGAATTTAATAATCCTTCAGATGTTAAAGCATTTTATTAAGGAGTGTGCCAGTATAAGTAAACTAGAAAAGGGAAAGCAGACCTACCTTTAGGAATTGAAGTTAACTTGGCCTCTGCAATTCGTATGTGGTAGATATTTACCCCTTCGAAAGCCCCTGGCTCTATTCCATCGTTGTTAAGAGGATTTGCACTCATTTCTGCCCAAGGGGGAAAAAGAAAAGCATTTATGGCATTGGAATTTTGTTCAACTCAGACTTAAGTTATAAAGAGCTGATTTAAATTTATTTATGATTTCTGATATTGCAAGCACTCTTTAATGTTTAGCTTTGATTGTCTGTTCTGAGGGGTGTCACAGCTCTCAGGGAATTAAGGCTGTGTTACTTGGCTTGCAGGATTCTCCAAAACTTGACCTTTGCAGCAACTTCACATAGAAACCAAATTGTGGGGGGTATTCCCACAGCATGGATATCTCTTTTAGAGAAAATTGTGCCTTGGGGAAATGTTTAAATGGAAATTATGTATAATATGTTCCATTTTTTGGTAAAGACATTTTCTGTTCTACTTAGTTAGACTTACCTAAAACATGTAGAGACTTCATTCCTTTAAATACATCCTTGGGAATTTTCTTAACCTTATTAGCATGAATTCTGAGTTCTGCAAGAGTTCTGGGTAGATTTGTTGGAATCTCTGTCAGTTGATTGTGGGACAAATACAGTCGTCGTAGCCTCTTTGTTGGTTGAAAGGCTTTGGGATGGATCTTGTATATTTTATTGTTGTTCAAAGCCAGTGCCTATGAGAGATGGAAAGATCAATTTAAAAGCTTTCTTTACCCAGGACTGTTACAACTATGAATTTGAAGTCATGGATTTTATGTGTAATTCAGCAATTAAGTATTTAAAATATTTCCTTTTTCCATCCTACCAAACTTCAGCACTTTGTAGAGGCTTTAGGCGTTTCAGTTGATTATGAAAAACAAAGAAGAACCTGAAAGCTGGAGCATTAACCAGAAGGTAGAGCTGACAAGGTGCCAACGGGTCATGAGAATTGGCAAAACAATATGTTTGTATTCAGATATTTTGTGGGATTGAATGGGGGTTATATACTTCGTTGCTATTGTTCCTTAATGCAGACAAATTCTCAAAACTTGGAATCTCATCTGTTATTTTAACATAATGCTGCAAAATAAAAGTGAAGTTTTTAATCTTTCTTAGACATTAGTATCTGTATATGACACATGAATTTATGTTTTATTTGGCATTTCCAGCTGCTGTGAACTTCAGTCTCTCTCTTCTGTACAGTACATGAGTCTTTTGGGGGCAGCTTCTTCCTCATTGCTATGTGTTATCAGAGAGCTTGTAATGAGTTACTACAGACAGCAAAATACACACTATTTGAAATTATTTTGCATGTCAAATCACACCTCTGCATTTCCATACTTAAGCTATTCATTTATGTTTCTTTTTTATTTCTTGGAGTCATCTCTTCTTAGAAAAAAAAGTAGAGCAAACAATAATTATTTTTCCCAGAAAAAAATGAGGTTAGCTCAAGGAAATAAACAGGAAATGCTCCTCGCTAATCCAAATTGCCATCTGTGCCTTTGCTAAGCAGACTCCAGGACTGAGCCAAGTTGTACAAAGTAAACTTTGCTCTCAGTGCAAATGTTGTTCAGCCTTGACACAAATGTACCGAGGAGAAAAAGCAAAGCAGCTCAGTGTGCTCAGCTATCACATAATTAAGTGGTGACTCTAGTCTTTAATGTGTTTGCTGATGGATTCCAGTGGTTTTCTTAGTTGTTGGAGATAAGAGACTCTTAGATCTTTTACACAGAATATAAACCACAGTTTGTGCAGTTACCTTTTGCTTGCTGCTAAGACCATTTTGCACCCAGACACGAGAGAATAGGAAATGCTTCATTGTCAACTCTGAATTTATATAGTTCCTGTTTTTTTTGTCCTGTCCTAGGCCATAACAATTAACAAGACCATTTATAAACACTTAGATCTGGTAAATTTTCAGATCTTGCTCAGAAGCCAAATATGACTGAAAAGATTTGTTTTGTAGAATCACAGAATGATTTTGGGTTGGCACAGACCTTAAACACCATTCAGTGCTACCCCCTGCCATGGGTAGGGACACCTTCCACTGTCCCAGGGTGCTCCAAGTCCCATCCAACCTGGCCTTGGACACTTCCAGGGATCCAGGGGCAGCCACAGCTGCTCTGGGTACCCTGTGCCAGGGCCTCATCATTCTCACAGGGGAGAATTTCTTCCTAATGTGTTAGGAATGGTCCTTATGTTAGTCTGTGTGTCTCATGTCTTTCTGTGGAGAATAGAATGCAGTTAATTTGCTCTCAGTTATGGAACAGGTTTGGGTTTTAGAGAAAAAAAATTTAAATGCTCAGTATTTGTTAGTGGAACTAGATCTGGATAGTGGATCTACAGTGACATCCAATAGAAACAAATATTCTAAAGCAGATTTAATCTACTTCCCAGCCCTCTGGGACTCTCATTTCCTTTCATCATAAAAAGGGTTTATTGTGTACTGTAAACATCTAGATTTATCAGTTGCCAGCGATATTTGTTTCAAAGCCTGTTGCTACATGCATAACTGAGCATGGTAATAAATTATAGTAAAGCCCCTGGGTTTTCCAGTAATTCAGTGTTTCTCTGTTTTCTGTTCATTGGTTTCAGTGCTATATGTGTTAGCTTTATGTTCTCTTCTTTTGAAAATATCCTCAGAAAATGTTAAATTTTGTGAGGTTAAATTCTTTCTGCTATTTTCCATCTAAGTGGATAAAAAGGAGGCCTTGCAGTCTTTGAAATGTAGGGAATGTTTCTGTGCATGCTAAGAACTGAAAAATCTTCAGAATCTTTTTGGTTAGATCTATATGGTAAATTTTCTGGGTATTGTAGAAAGTAGTTCTTACAACCCAAAGGTATATGCTTCTTACTATGTGGAAGCACTTAAATACGCAGGCATTAGACTATTTTTATCTGTATTATTGGAGAAGGAAATAACATTTATATTTTTAAAGCATCTAAATATTTCAGATTGCTAACTAAGATTTCAAACTTGGGAAATGGCAAACTTACATAAAGTGATGTGAGTCCTTGGAGATCATTTTCCTTGACCTCTTTGATTTTGTTGTTTTGAAGATCAATCATACGAGTATCTGGCGGGATGTTGCGAGGAATTGATGTCAAACCTACATAAATGTGACATAAACAGAACCATTATGTTCTGTATTTAAGGCCAAAGAAATTAACTGCCAAACATCAAAACACAATAAGATTGTTAATGAATATGGTGGGGAAGAAAATATGAACAGCCATAAAGCAAAGGGTAGAAGGGAATTTTTGATAGTGGGAAAAACTAATGATTCAAAAATGTGCCACAAACATGTGCATAGTTTTGGGAGGAATTGCTTCTGCTCCTGACCATGAAAGCTTAATGGGGACTGCTCACTGTGGGCTCTTTGCATCTGTGAAATAATCTTCAGAGCATGGGTTGTCCTACAGAGCAGCTGTTTAGTCCCTGGAGAAGGGATCCCTCAGGAATCCAGGGCGGTGGTTCCCTGGTGAGGAGCAGGGCTGTGGATTCAGGGTTCTCTGCTTAGTGCTCCTTCAGACCTCTGCTCTGCCCTGTCCATGTCAATGGGGCAACTGCCGAGGGTTCATTCAGGTCATGGCAGGGCTGAGAAACCTGTTCTTGGTGTGGGCACTCTCCACTGCCAGCACTTCAGTACCAGTACCAGAAGTCATTAACATAAATCAGTACCAGTAGCATTATTCTCCCAACCCAGTTTGCTGTTCAGTTACAAACCCAGTGCAGTTCAGGCCATCTGAGGTCCTGAATCAGCAGAAAGGACTCAACAGGGACAGTAACTTTCTTTTGAGTGGAAATGTTGATGTGTGAAATGCTAAATGCTGTCCATTTTAACAATTACTCTGTAACTGATTGCAGTTATCTAAAGATGAAGTCTTTTAATGTGGGATTTTTCTATGTGTAAACTCATGTAGAGCAGTTTGAAATCTGTAGACCAGATACATTAACCACAGTTTGCTGCTGTCAGCAAAAGTTTTTGATTCCTTAATAATAACCCAGAAATTTTATGTATGGACAATGTTTCTAAGACACAAGGAGTCCAGGATGAAGTTTAGGAAGGTGGCAGGGCTGTGATGAGAAAAAATGTCATTATCACTGTGCTAGTGATGGGAGCACAGTCCTTTCATTGCCTTGAATGATAGGAAAACTTCAATGAGCACTAATTCAAATTGCCACAATTAATAATGAATTCACTTTTAGGGACTGGGATGTACCTGCAGCACTGACAGGAACGCATTTGCCTTTGGCTAAATGGTTACCAGGGATGCTTACTTTGGTGAAAGTTAAGCTGAGGGAATACTTCGTATCCCATTTATGTTCCTGCATAATAATTCATCTTCTAAAAGACAAATCCTACAAAGGAGAATCCAGTGGAGAACAGACACACAAATTCATTCTTACCTAGGTCAGAGCAATGGACAACTCTCACATAGCACTGGCATCCAAAGGGGCATGTTGGGAACAGATCAAAAGGAATGAGTGGTAGAATGGGTTCAGTGGTTGGAAATAGAGAATTGTCATCATCATCATCGTCGTCGTCATCTTCCATATCTTGGAGCATCATATTCTTTAGTGTAAAATATGAGGGACCAGTGAGAGATTTAGCAGAGCACAAAGCCAAGAAAAGAAGGAGTGTGTATTCTTTCATATCTTCTTAATCAGGATAACCAATCTTGGAAAGTGAACAAACAAACAAAAAAACAAACATCAGAATCAGTGAATAGGGAAAAGCAAATGAAGCTATTGAATTGTTTACTTCACTCATTGCCACACCATCTAGTCCTGAAAAAGTGCCTGTTGTGAATATTGAGGTTTAATTAGTATATAAAGGATATAAAAATAATCTTTTTAATATAAATAAATACTATAAAATAACACATAATGTTAAATTAATTAGGCATTAATGTATTATCAAAGCATTTTAGTTTTGTTTACAAATAATATCATCATTTGCTTCATGCTTTGAAGTGGGATTTTTGTAGTAAACTTTACCGTAACTTGGAATATGATTTATTTTATTCATTCTCAGTAAAAAAATATTTTTAGTGGGATATATTTGCATGTGTGCATTGCTTATAAAATTGGGAAGTGCTTGATTAGCAGTGCATAAAATGCACTCAGTGGGATACTTCCTAAACACTCGGTATTCCACTCCCTAAATGCTTTAATTAAGCTCTTCCCAGTCTAATCTGAAATTTCCAGTCCTGACAACAACTTGTCCCACGTTCCAGTTATTTGTTTGTTATTGTCACTGATAGAAGTTGACCTCTGCAAAGACATCTCACAGAGTTGTAGAATCATCTCATTCCACCTCTCTGTCCTGGGCAGAAACATTTTCCATTATCCCAGGGTGCTCCAAGCCCCATCCAGCCTGGCTTTGGGCACTTCCAGGGATCCAGGGGCAGCCACAGCTGCTCTGGGCACCTGTGCCAGGGCCTGCCCACTCTCACAGGAAGAAATTTCTTCCCAATAGTCTAAACTTGTTCCCTACCAGTGTGGAGCCCTTCCCCTTGTCCTGTTACTCCAGGCTCTTGTAAGAAGTCCCTCTCTGCCTTTCTTGTTGGCTCCTTCAAGCACTGGAAGGTCACCCCAAAACTTCTCTTTCCCAGGCTGAACAAACCAAATTCTCTCTTGACTTCTGTTCAAGGAGGGCTCTTTTCTCTGAGAAGGACTTGACTATTAGAAATCCATGTCAGTGGAAATCGGTGACTTAATTTACATCCAGAAGAAAAGCTGAAATCTGCTATTTTTGTGTGTGAATTTTTCAATAAACATAGGTTGGGGCTTTTCTGTGTGGTGGGTTTTTTTTTCCTTGCTCCTACAAAACTAAGTGCAGAGGAGAATGGAGATAGTAGGAATTGCCACAGAATGCAAGAAACCGCGAGAAAATGTAGATTCAGCCCTCAGCTTGACATTTTTCCCTTCAAATCCCAATTCCAGAAGTCATTTGGAAATGAAAATGTGCTGCATAAACTGAGAGGCTGCAGGAAATTTTATTGTGCATGCCCTGTTTATAAAAACATTTCTATTTAGACTATCATAGGCCTCTTTAAGGAAATACTAAACAGGTGTCAAATCTTGTTTGATCACCTAATTAAATGCTTGCTGATCTGTTTGGAGATGAAAAATGTCTTTCTGTAGGCATTTTGTCATTGATCCTCCACTGCAGGAAAAGGAGTGCTCTGCTTTGTACTGGGGCCTGACTTGGCTTGTTCAAAATGAGATTTTGTTTGTACTGCTTTTTTCTATGCAGAGTAATTTTGATGTTTATTGAAGGGGGTTCATAATAGCATTATATGCAAATATCCTGCATACCTTGCTGCTCCTGTATCTGTGTCTGTTTCAGGAAGTTTAAAAAGAAGAAAGCTAACAGTGTTCAGATGACATAAAAAGAATGGGGGACTTCTTTCCTCCAAATATATGCCTGAAATCAGAATCACAAAGTACTTTGTATCTTGTAGATAAACAACATCTAGCTAAATTTAATATTTTCCATAATAGTACAGTTGCGTGCCCACTTGGGTAGGGCATGTACTTTTACTGATGTAACAAGATTATCTCCACATGTATTTTTTCCCATATATTTTCCTTTGTATTCAAAATAATGTTCTCTTACAATGCTCCTAGAAATAATTTTGTGGTTGTTCTTGCAATCCCTTAGAATGTCTGTCCTTGAAAGACTCTTTATAGTTAAACAGTGCTGGGAAGAAGGAACCTCTGATTGTTTTTTTGGAGAGAATTGTTGTCATCTCTGGCTGTGCACCTTTGGAATATTTGGCCTTTTCAGTCTTCTATTTCAGCCTCAGAAAAAGGCCAAAATCTTCACTACTTTAGTCATACCATCAATTAGAAGATGAGGAGTTGGAAGCCTTTCAGACTTCCAAGTCCTCCTTGTTCTTGGACAAGTGGTTTAATGGCTGGGCTATCACACCTGAGCTCTCAGGCTCTCTGTTCTTCCCTGGCAGTTTAGGTCCTAAGTGCCAAAATGCCCTGTGGTTTATCCAGTGATGAGACACCATTTCCATATGCAGGATATCAAATGTGATGATGTTTGGGGACATGGACTTTCCAAGTCCCTGCTGACTTCAATTTGTGAAAGGCACTGGCTGGTTAGCTTTACTGGATCTAAAATAAACTTGCATGTATGTTCCTAAAATGTTGGTTTGGATCTGGTGCTAGGAAGTTTTCTTATGAAACAACCTAAAAATCTGTTCCCACACTTGCATCTGTAGCAGATGGATTTCATACTTCCTTTCACATAGCCAAAAATTAGGATTTCGAAGTATTAAAAGACTGAGGCTGTGACTGCAGTAGTGGCCAATTTGAACTCTTGAAAAACATGTGTTGCTCACAAAGTTCTAGAAAATTAGTGTTGAAATGTGTCACTGGTGACATATATTAGTTCTGAGTCAAATCTCTTGAAAACAAGTCCCTTTATGTAAGGAATCCTGAGCTGTGATTTTTTTCATTTTAAAGAAAAAAGTCCTTGCTTCATCTTCCCATCTGGCCCTCAGGAAATCATTACTGGCTTTGTAGTTAGGAATGATCATTAAGCTTGAGTCCAGGTTTGCATAGGCCAAAGCAATGCCAAGGAATGGATCCTAAAGAACTGAGTTCTGTAAAGGTGTGGGGATGGTTCTTTCCTGCCTGAGGTTTGGAGTTTCCCAGTAAACAGATGCTTTTATGACTCTTCAAAAATAGTCTGACTCTGCAGCACTTCTCAAAGAACTTTTACAAACTTTCTGCATGCGTAAACTTCAAGAATAAGAGAATTAAAAGAAAGCCTAAAATCCGAGATCTTAGTGATCTTTTTGAAAGTACTGTCATGAAGATTTTATTAAATACTGTTTCAGAAGGTATAGGTACAGCTGTGCTAATGGTCCCCTGCTGCCACTTGAGCCTGACTGTGCTCCCAGGTGTTCCCTGCCAGCTCTATGGTACCAGCTCTTCCTTTCAGGCTGTTCACTGAGCTGGTTTAACTCATTACACCAGCACAAAACTAATGTGAACAGCAGAAAACCCCATCATATTCTTTCCAAATGAAGAAACTGAGTCACTTTGGAGTACCAGAACCAGCACAAAAGAATGGGTAGAACGGCCTGGTTGGCTGGGCTGGAACATTAAATGGAAAGAGAAGGAAGGAGGAGCAATGGGGGAGCCATTCCTGACATATTCAAGCTGTTAGGCAGGCTTAAGTGCTCTGTTAAATAATCCCCTGAGCAGCTGGTTGTCACTTGGACAAATCCTGGCTTTGTCCATTCTTGTTTTAACAGACCAGAACATTGAGAATTAGTTTGACAAAGAGTGTGGTGAATTCAAGCTCCATTGTACCTTCTTTATGTCAACCCTTCTTATCCTTCAGCACAAAAAGCTTTTGAGTACCTTCTCCCTGGAACATGAGCCACCCCAAGTGAGGTGACTGAATGTGTAGAGTGCATTTCACATGGAGAGATGATCTAAGCTGCTTTCCTGAGGTCTTTCACTGTCCAAAAATCACTGCACTGGTTGTTTGGGACACACTTATCCTCACTAATGTGGTCATCTATACCCAAACTCATATTGCCAAACTACACATGGAACACAGACACTTTTTATGCTATTAGTTATAACTTATAAATCACTAAATACAGGTGATGTCACAGGATAATTTGATTAAAACCCTTAACATTTTATGTGGAAAATTCCCATATTTCTCTTATGTGAAAATTCTAAGCATGAGTTATGAGAAGAAAACCCTTTTCAGTGAGAACAGAAGTTGTGTTGTTAGCGTGGGAAGAGGGCATAAAGAGACCCAACAACAAATAACTCTGAATTGCTTGGCAGCTGAAAAGCAGTCCAGCAATGTGGACTTTGCTTTCTTATCAGTTATGATACTGAAGGACTTAATACATGAAGTTTTTAAGTCTTAAAAAGACTCTAAATTATATTTAGAAATCTCTCCTGCTACCGATGTAGAGACAAACTTCCCATGGCATTATTTCTGAAAAGGAAATGTTTAAATGACCTGGTGGTGGTCTTTGCAGAGGCAAAGAAAAGTCCCTGTGTTCATTAATAACACAAATCATTTCTCTGTGCACAGATTTTTTCCAAAGAAAGGCAAGACCATAACTGTTTTGAAATCTATATTTAAAAATAGTTCTGGTTCTATTAGTCATTGTCCCAATCCAGAAATAAAAGAAGTTTATGTTTAACTCTTTATCTACTCAATTGATTTACTTAAATTGCTGAAGAAAACAGGAGGAAGGTTTTTGTTAGTAAGATTAGTGTAGAAATGACTGTTGAGAGAAATAGTCCAATATTGAAGTTGAGCAGTAATAATTAAGAGGATGTTTACAAAATAAGTTGTATTTTTAGAGTATTTACTTTTTATGGAGAGCTGCTTGATTCTTGATACTGACTGATCTATGAGGATTTTTAGGTTGTAGTTCATCTACAGTTCATTCTTTTCTGGGTTGTTTTTAATTACTTTGCTGATATGTACTTTAAATCCCCCACCAACTTGAATACCAAATTACAGAAAGTTAACACTGAGTTATTACTCAATAAGAGTTGCTGTTATTGTAGAGTAGATTTTCATAGATGGTTATAACTGAAAAAGTGTTATGGTCAGTTGTAACATTTTTCTGACAAGTCTTTGATATTTAAATAATTCACTGTAGCTCTATTTG